ATATTTTATCTTTATTTAGCCTTTATACCAACTATAATTAGAGGTATAATTATTCTCACAGATGAGAAGACTGAGACTCAGAGAGACTAAGTAACTTGGCTGAAGTCTCATAGCCAGTACGCTCAGAGCCTGCATTTCAGTGGAACTTGTCAGACCACAAAGCTCTCTCTGCTGGCCAGCAGCTCCCTCCTCCATGCACAGGGACACTGGTTTTGCAGCTCTGTTAACAGTCCTTTTCAGCTGCCTTGCTTTAGCCTCGTCTGCACGTGTTCGCTGTGTCCCTCAAAAGGCTGTGAGCTACTTGAGACCAAGAACCACACCCTGGTATTTAAAGTGTGTGGCACAGGGAGGGACTGAACGAATTTTGTTGGATGACTGTAACTGAGATAAACAGGACTCTGACCCAGGGACCTGTGAAGGAGACAGTCCCAGGCACAGCTGGCTTGCTGGAGAGAATGCTTTTGCCACTCTTCCCCTCCCATTCCTCTCAGAAACCTGGTTCTGCAGACCGCATGGGGCTTCCTGTTCAATTGAAATAACCTCCCAGAGCAACTTCTGGGCAGATCCACAGTGCTCCTCCCACGCCCATCCACCCTTTTCCTCCAACGAATCCCTTGAATAGTAAGGGATTGAAATTCCTTTTCCAGCTACTTGACCCACTGTGAACTTCAGCTCCTCCTCTTAGCTCCTATAACATGTGACACCAACTCTTTGCTATAGTGGTGGATCAAACAGAGTTAGTCTCTTCCCCCCAGAGATACATCCAATGATGTCAACAGCAGAAAAGTTTGGAAGATTAACTTCCACTGACTCAGTATGTGCATGAGAAAACCGGGGCCCAGGGAGGGAAGTGGCTGATACCCAATGGGGATAAGGTAAGGCACCTCTTTGCTTCTCTGGGACATTTTTCATCAGAGTCCCCCAAGCCCTACCTGGGACGCTACTCTGGCAGTTATTGGTGAAAACAGCCCTTGACTTCTCCCTCGCAGCCCTTTATCCCATGGGATGTGGGTCCAGTCCCGGGGCAGAGCCTGGGGGCAGACGCGACCTGCCCGCCCCATCCCCGTGGCTTAGCCAGTAGGTTTCTAGGCAGAGCTGTCACCCAAACAAAGGTTCAGACTCACAAGGACTCTGAGCCCAGTTTGCTCCAACCCATGCACCTTTAAAAGGTGCGCACATCTCAATTCATCGTCTAGATAAGGAGCATGAGCCTCAGAGAGGTTAGCTGGTTTGCCCAAGATCACCCAACTAGTCAATGGGATTAGAGCCTGGGTGGACCCGCCCTTCACAGCCTCCCCATGTTTCTACCTTAACCTGACATGTGACAAATTCCAGGCACACCTCTGTTAGTTGGCTGCTCAGGAATTAGGCTGTTCTGAGAAAGGATTTTTTTTTCTGAGATTCCACCCAGGCAGCATTCTTTTGCACCTTGGTGACCAGGTGTGGCACACACGGCCTATGGCCCCCTCTGCCACCTGCCAGCCTGCTGCACACCAGCCAGGCTGACAACCTGCAACCTGCCGAGCCACTGTGCTCAAACCCACACACACTGGTCGTTTTTTTGTCTCCCTACCCTTACCCACAGCCCCAACCTATGTTTTTTTCTTTAAATTGATTTGAGAGAAAGAGGAACATTGACTATTATTTTCCACTTATTTATGCATTCATTGGTTGATTCCTGTATGTGCCTTAATTGGGGATTGAACCCACAGCCTTGACTTATTGAGACAACGCTCCAACCAACTGAGCTACCTGGCCAGGGCGAACCTATCTTTTTAACCTGGGTCGACATCCCCTTTTTCAACCTTGCTTCTGCCCAACCCTCCCACCCAACACTTCCAAGACTGGATTCAAGGTTCCCCCAGCTTTGTGCCCTGGTGGGTGCTCTAGTGTGTCAGCGCCCCTGTACGCTGCTCAAGGGCAGGCATAGGCGGGCTCGGCACCCATCCCATTGGCCAGCAAGGGCCTGGCTCATAAGAGAGGTGTGTGGAAGTAATGAGGCTCAACTCTCTGTTTCAAAGATCTTCCTCAAAAGCCAGAGGCCACGCTTCTGCCTCAGTCAGCACTTACAGGCTAAATGACTTCATGTGCATGTCCTCCATCCTCAGTAGACAGTATGAGGTATCCATAGACGGGATCCTTTGCTCCCAAATGCCTCCACACTAGCCCGTCATTCTACCCCTTAAAGTATCATCCCCTTGAGTCTGAAAGCTTCTCATGCTTCTGAAGTGCGAAGAAGAGTGTCCAATAGACAGGGAGAAAGATGCCCAGCATTTCTAAGAATCAAAGAAATGCAAATCCGAACAACAATGAGGTGGCATTTTTGATCCAATGGGCAAAAACCCAGTTTTGAAGATACAGTTTTAGAGGGATAAGTAAGGAGGCAGGCTCTGTTGGAGAAAATGAGAACAGCTTTGGGAACAGTTTTACAGCAACTATAATGAAACACTTCTACACATGTGTCCTAATGAAATACTTGCACCCATGCATAAACTTGTGTTACAGGGCTGCCCATCAGAGAATGAACTGTAGTAGTGAGAAAAGTGGGCAGAACCCAGGTGTTCATTATTAGAGGTTGATTACATCCATCGTGGCATAATTGTACAACAGATATCCCTCTGGCCACATAAAAAGATAAAAGTCAATCATACCTAGTGATGTGGAAAGATACCCACTATCTGCTGTTACATGAGAAAAGCAAGTTGTAGAAGTATGTGTATGAGAATACACCTTTGGGTAAAAAAGAAATGTGTGTGTGTGGTGATGTGTGTGTGTGTCTAACCCAGACATTAGTCTCTTCTCTGCAAGGGTCACCTTCCTCTAGTAGATTTGGGGACAAGAGGAGTACGTCTTCTTGATAATTACCGAGTCGTCCACCTGGGTCCCCACTCCATCCTCCCACCATTTCCAGGATAGACCTCCTCCCAGAAGGCCCTCACACACGGCCGGTGGAGAAGGGAGCATGGGGTCTGCTAGGCCCCCTTCATGTCACCTCCCTCCCCCAGGCCTGCCACTGTGCGGGACTGTCGGGGAGTGCTGGGCTTTGCTGGAGAGCCGAAGTAACAAAAGGAAATGACAGTGAGGAACGGAAACCTTTCCACTGTACCCTAATCATTAACTTTTCCTCGAGTGTGTTTTCGAATCTGAGGATGGTACACCTAAGGGTGACCGCAATCCTTGGCTGAACCTGCCTTTCTCTTCCTGAAGGCTCCCGCATCTGCGTGTGCGGAGCTGGGTCTTCAGGGGGATACACATGTGGGAGATATTTCTGTAGTCGGAGCGGAAAGCACCGAGAAGCCTGCCAAGGAGATTCCCTTCGGGGCACCCCCCGTTCCCAGCCTTGCTCCCCTCTCCTTGAGTCTGCCTGTAACAGGCTTTCTGTACATGCTTTCTGTGTTTATTCAGAGCCTTCAGAATTATAATTGAGTGGCTAATACTCCACACTGATATGAGATTAAATTGTTCCCTTTGTATTGGTCATTTAGAGTATTTCTAAATTTTCTGTATAGATGATGTTACAATGAACATATGATGCATAAAGATTTTTGCTTATATTGGATTTTAAGAGTGAAATTACTAAGTCAAAGAATATAATATAAATATCTTTATGGTTCCTACTAAAGATGGCCAAATGGCTTCCAGAAGATGACTCTGATTGATCGTACTACCAATACCGATTAAATGTACAGTATAATCCGCCAACACTGGCTCTGTTTTTCAGTTGGCTGTTTTAGACTATAAATGGGCCCTGGCTGGTGTGGCTCAATGGGTTGAGTACTGGACTGCTAAGCAAAGGGTCGCCGGTTTGATTCCCAGTCAGGGCACATGCCTGGGTTTCGGGCCAGGTCCCCGTGGTAGCCACGCAAGAGACAACCACACATTGATGTTTCTTTCCCTCTCTTTCTCTCTCCCTTCCCCTCTCTCTAAAAATAAATAAAATCTTTTTAAAAAAGATTATAAATGATTATCGCAGAGCTGTTTTTCCTGTTTTTCTCCGTACTAGCAAGGGTGGAGTTCAGATTTTCAAAACGTTTGTTTTAAAGGTGTCCTAAATTGTAGTCACATGTGTTCTTTCTTTTCACCAGTCAGAGCATAATAAATAGCATTAATGATGATAATAACAACAATTAAAATGAGAATTATAATCCTTATTTCTTTGGAGAACTTGACAGTTTACCAACTTTTACAAGCAGTATCTCATTTTATTCTGCCAGTAGGCAAGGCCAGGCAAAGATTTCCCCCACCTATAGATCAAACAGCTGAAACTCCGCAGAGTCTGTTGAGCTTGAAAAACAAGCCCACCAAGGCAGCTGTAAATAACTGGGGGTGTGGTCTCTTTTCTCTGCTTCTCTGTGAGTCCCCTCCTCCTCTCTGCAGATCATCTTTTTCTGCTTCTCTATCAGCATCCATAAGCCTGGAAATAGCAGCTGCCTCCAGGCTCTGCCCATCCTTTCAGCTCAGGCTCCAACATCTAATCAGAATCTTTGCCCCTTGGTTTATCATATCTCAGGAGTGACCCTGGACTTCCCAGCCTCCCAGAAGGGTTTCCCTCTGCTCAGGTGTCCATCTTGGGTTGGGTACAGTGGGGGACAAGGCCATATGGTACAAACAGAGAAGCTGGGGCTGAAGGCAGATCTCTTAGAAGGATGTGGGAAGGGAAGCAGAGGTAGGCTTTTTAATTCAACACTGGCTCAGAGCTATCAAGCCTGGCTAGTCCTCTGGGCCTGGCTACTCCATAACAATAACATGCCAGTGATAATAGTTGCCAAGGTCTTCAGAGACTTCTCAGAGAAAACCCTCCCAAAGGAAGAGAGGAGATGGCCTCTTTCCTCTCTCATCACGCCTCGAACCTCCCTGCCGGCCTCAGTCAGCTCTGCCCACCACCCTGGCCATGAGGCACCTCACCAAGCAGGTCTCAGAAAGCCTGATGTCAGAGGGGGAGGCCATCGGGGCCCCTCTCCGCCCTGCCCACCCAGCTTAGATCCTCCGTTCCCCTGCAGGTGCGGATCTGGGAGATCCCTGAGGGCGGGCTGAAGCGGAACATGACAGAGGCTCTCCTGGAGCTGCATGGGCACAGCCGGCGCGTGGGGCTGGTCGAGTGGCACCCCACTACCAACAACATCCTGTTCAGTGCCGGCTATGATTACAAGGTAGGCAGCCTGGCAGGCAGTGGGGATGGGGAGGGAGCGAGAAGGGCATCTTTGGGGGCCTGTAGGAAGCACTATTACTTTCCTGAGTATGTTAACCAATATTGTCTCATCTGTTCATTTCTTCATTCACTACACACAACTGAGCATCTTCTGTGCACCCCGTCATTCCTGGGGTCCACAGAGGCTGAAGGCATCTGTACTGCCTTCTCCGGTGCTGATGGACTGGAAATGAATGCCACTCTGTGCCCACACTCTCCTGGTGGGGAAAGCAGGAACAACCAAAGCTGCTGGAGGGAAGAGAATGGAGCCCCAGCCCCTACCCCCAGACATGCCCTCAAACGAGGTGTGCCAGCCACTGGAACCTGGCAAGGAACACTTATCCTTCTTGCCAGTTGCAGAAACTGAGCCAGCCTAGAGCTGGGATCTGCCCAAGGATAGTAGTGGATTTGTGTGGCAGGGGCACATCAGCCTTTGGTGGAGAACTCGGTAACACCATCCTGCATCCCAGCACACCCCGACCCTTCACGGGCATCTCCCCCAGGACCGTCGGGTGTGGAACGGGGACAGACGCCCTATGACAGCAGCAGCAGGGCTGACCCTGACTCCTGCTCGTCTGCTGTCCCAGGTCCTCATCTGGAACCTGGACGTGGGGGAGCCCGTGAAGATGATCGACTGCCACTCGGACGTGATCCTCTGCATGTCCTTCAACACCGACGGCAGCTTGCTCACCACCACGTGCAAGGACAAGAAGCTGCGTGTAATTGAGCCGCGCTCAGGCCGTGTTCTGCAGGTGAAGCCCCACCTTTTAAAGGGGAAGGGAAGGTGTTGAGGCTTGGGGCTCAGCTTTCAGCCAGGATCCAGGAAAGACCGGGCCACTTCCCCTCTGCTATGCACCTGGCCAGCACCCTGGTTGACCATCTGGTCTGTTCTGGGCCCTTCTCGGCTCACAGCAGCCCTGCCTTATTCTTGGTGGGGAGGAGCCTTAGTACCCTTTATTGTCCACCGCACCCCACTCCCCAGATGGGATTCTTCTGGCCTGCTCTGCGGACTGAGCTGGTGACACCCTTCAGCACATGAATCCTTGGGTATTGACCTTGAGCCTTGTCATGGGCCCAGGAGACTGTGATCCTTGTCATGGGCACCGCCCAGCCACCTGTGTGGGACAAGCCTGGTGGAAATGGCTCAGGCTGCTGGCCCCAGGGACAACTCCAAGTGGGGAGGTAGATAGTGAACTTAACTCTAGTTTTGGTTTTCCGGTCTCTTGGGTCTTGACTGTGAAGAAGGGATTAGATGCCATTTGGGAATAAGAAATGAACAGTTCCTGAGCACCTAAAGTATGCTAGTCACTGAGTGGGATGGAAAATTCGCATTAACTTTGAGATTTACCTACTACACAAGAAAGGGTGGCCTGGTTTTGTTTACCTAGGAGGAGCCCACCACTGTGAGGCCGGAGAGGCATCTGCTACTACTTCTACCAATAGTAGTTACCCTAGGTATTAACCCCACTGGCAACATCGCTGGGACGCCACGGGCTCCGCATCGTTCCCTCCTTCAGTCCTCATGACGGTCCTCTGTGGTGGGTGCTGTTACTCTTCCCATTTCACACGTGGCAACACCGAGCCTTAGAGATGGCCAGAGACTTGAATGCCACAGTCACGGAGCAGCTAGAATTCAATCCCAGCCAGATGGACCCAAGAGCCATGCTGGGCAGAAAAGGTGTCAGAGAGCAGAGAACCCAGCATCCACCTCACAGCCATGGACACGAGCCCAGAGAGGGTGAGGGGCTCCTCCCGGGTTACACTTTTTTGGCAGAACTTGGGGCTAAAATCCAGAGCAAGTGAGGCCAGCCTGGGCCTTTGCACTGCTGCGCAGCCTCTGGTTTCTGCCTGATGCTGACTCATCCTGGCAGAGGGCCGTTGTGTGTTGGGAGGAAAGGGAAGTGTCAAGAGCTGGGAGGCAAGGGACGGCTTTGTAGGAGTCCCTGGTGAAGTGAGTCATGAGACAGCGAACCAGTCCTTCTGAGCCTCAGGGTCCTCGTCCTCAGAGATTCCTGCCAGTAGGTATTGCTGTGCAGGTTAAAAGAGAAGCCCTGCTGAGAGCACCTGGCACCTGGCTCAGTGCAGGGCCTGCCCAGGGCTTGGGCAACGTCAGCACCCGCTCTCCTGTCCTCCGCCCCCTCTGGCACACGGCAGAGAGGCCTGCCTTCCAGTCTCAGGGTTCCACTGCTCCGCGGCCCCTGTATTTGTTTCCTGGGGCTGCTGTAACACATTACCACACAGGGGTGGCTTGCAACAACAGAAATGGATTTTCTCCCCGCTCTGGAGGCCAGAATTCTGACAGCAAGGTGTCAGCAGGGCCACAGTCCCTTCTTAGGCGCTGGGGGAAAACCCTTTCCTGCCTCCTCCAGCTTCTGGTGGCTGCTGGCTTCCTTGGCTTGTTGTCACGTCTCTCCACACTCTGCCTCCACAGTCACATCACCTTCTTTTCTCTGTGTCTCTGCAAGCTCCCTCCACCTGTTATAAAGGCTCTTGCGATAGCGTGTAGGGCCCACTTGGATAATCCAGGGGATCCCCCTATCTCAAGGCCCTTAACTTAACTTTACACCTGCAGAGTCTCCTTTTCCAGATAAGGAAGCACCCACAGGTCCCAGGGATGTATCTTCTGGGGGCCACTGCCCAGCCCACTACAGGACCCTGGAGTCTGTGGCCCTGGCTCACCGACGCCCTCTCTCCCCCCAGGAGGCCAACTGCAAAAACCACAGAGTGAACCGGGTGGTGTTCCTGGGGAACATGAAGAGGCTTCTCACGACAGGGGTCTCCAGGTGGAACACAAGACAGATTGCCCTCTGGGACCAGGTCAGCCACAGGGAGCCCGGCCGGGTGGTGACATAAAAGGGTTGTAGCTCTGGGGACTTTGCTGTCGTGTGGGACAGTGAGGTGCCATCCTCCCTGGACATAGGCTGATACTGGCCCCTTCCCCACAGGAGGACCTATCCATGCCTCTGATTGAGGAAGAAATTGATGGGCTCTCTGGCCTCCTGTTCCCCTTCTATGATGCCGACACCCACATGCTCTACCTGGCTGGAAAGGTAACAGAGGGTGGGGGAGGGACCAGGGCAGCCCGTGGGAGGCCCCTACCCCCATTGGGCCCCTGCTCCTCCCCTACTTCCCTAAGAAGAGGCAGCCTAACGTCTCGGGCCTTCCCCTGACCCAACCTTGGTCTCACTCTCTTCCATTGAAACCTACCCTCAAGTCTGATGCTTACTCTTACTGAAGCTTCAATGACTGAAAATTCCTTCAGAGGTGAATTAGAGAGGGCTTTACACTGGAATAAGGATCAGAGCCTAAAGTGTAGAAGACTGACTAATGATGGAATTTAAGGCACCTGCCAGGAGATCTCTGGCAAATATGGCCTTGTCAGAAAAGAAATCTATACACACACACCCAGCAGCAGCAGCAGCACCACCACCCCCTGCCCCTGCCCCCGCCCCAGCCCCAGCAAGTCCCCTGTGGCAGGCCCACCAGGGACCTCGAGGCCAGGCCTCCCTGGTCTTCGACCACCTTGGAGGCACAGCAGAAGCTCTCTTCAGCAGACCCCCAGACCAGGGCTACTCAGCCCTCCCTTTCCCCTCTACCTTCTTCACCCCCCTCTCTCCTTGCCCACAGGGTGATGGAAACATCCGGTACTATGAGATCAGCACTGAGAAGCCCTACCTGAGTTACCTCATGGAGTTCCGCTCTCCAGCCCCACAAAAAGGCCTTGGTAAGGAGGCAAGACACTGCATGGCTGGTAGACTGTAGAACAGGAGACTGGACATTTGGCTCATAGGTAACCCCCCACCCCCAATAAACTATCAGATTCAAAAGGCCACAGGTCATGGGCAAGTCGCAATAGAACCCACAGGTGCTGCCCCTGTGAAGGTCAGCCTGCTGGTCTTCAGCCACCTGTCGCCACTCACTTGACCAGCTAGCTCATCCTTCCATGGTGTTGGGCATCCTTTGCCATCCCTGGTCATCAGCAGCTCACAGAGGCGTGACTGTGTCCTCATTCCTATTTGCAGAGGGGGAGGCAGAGGCCCAACATGGTTCTGACATTAGAAGCTTTTCTTTTTCCTGGTTGGTTGAGTAGGAGGTGGGGCAATGTGATGTGATCTGAAAGTTTAGTTGAAGATTGCTCGGGCTTCTGTAGGGAGAGTGCATTCAGGAACATGGATTTTGAAAGGGCAGGAGAGAGGCAGAGAGACCAGTTAGGAGGCCACTGTGGATTTCTAGGCAAGAAATCAGGGCAACTAGGGGGATGGCATGATGAAAAGAAGATAAATCCAGGAAATGTGTAGAAAGTAGGCCCAGTGAGACTTGGGGAGGAGAGGAGAGGGAGGAACCCAGCGTAACCATTTCTCATTGTCACTGTTGAGCGTTTATCATGAACCGGGTACTTTAAAAGGTTCAGAGTTGCTGAGTAACTTACCCCTGGCAGATCAGGTAGCTGTTAAGTGGCAGAACCAGAACTCACACTCAGTCTGCTGGCTCCAGATCCCACTTTGGTACCTACACCACTTCCCCCAACCCCAGCTCCTGGGATTCCCTTATCTAGAAGAGCAGACTTCCACTCCAGTTGAGAGGTAGAACGTTAACTCACATTCACATCATGGAGAAAGAAACTAATGTTATCTGTGCTCTTCACCACGCTGAGCCGTTAATGAACATCTTCACGCTCAATCCCCTGACCATCTCATGGGGGACGACCACCTTCCTCCATTCAAGTGACTAGCCATTCAAGGGACCTGAAGCTCAGAGGGGTCATGTTTTGCCCAAGGACTGGCTCCCAGCCATAAAGAGGGACAGAGCCAGTATTAGAACCCAGGTCTGTCCTACCCTGAAGCTTGTGTTCCTAACACCACACCGCACTGTTCCCTGAGTAGACGATCAGGAGATGCATCTCTCAGTGACAGTGTGGCTAATGCACAGACACAGAAAAGACATGCATGCACATACACACGCACATGCTCTCAGTCCTAGAAGATTATGACAGAACGGCAGTCAAGCAGCATTTAAAACCTCAGGGGTGCATGGGAAAAGGTTTTCCCTCCTTCTTTCTCTCTGAGGACCAAGGACACTGATGCTTCAAGAAGCCAGTTCATTTCAGAAGCTGATGGGCTCTGTGGCTTTTTTTGTGATAATATTCTTTGGCCTTGGACAAGCCCCTTCCTTTCTGACCCTTAGGAGTCTCATCTATAAAAAGAATGGATTAGATCCCAATATTTCTGCAGCCCCTTCCAGTGAGGAAAGGCTCCAATTCTAAGCCATACACTTGGGTGAGGCAAGCCTGGCCCACAGGGCTTGAGAAGTTGCCACCCAGAGACAGAACTGACTGAAGAAGCCCTCAGCCCACCCATTGCCCTCTGCCTGGGTCATTGTTCCAAACCCAGTGCTCCCCACTGGGGTCTTTCCCCTGGCTGGGGACATCAGAGAAGAGAGACACCAAGGGGGGAATCCCCTGGACCCCAGGGAACCACGTATGCCTGTCCGCAGGGGTCATGCCCAAGCATGGTCTGGATGTGTCGGCTTGCGAGGTGTTCCGCTTCTACAAGCTGGTGACTCTTAAGGGCCTGATCGAACCCATCTCCATGATCGTGCCCCGGAGGGTGAGTGGGGCTGGGAAGGACTCCCAAGGGCCCCGTATCAAATCCTAGCCTGCTCGCCACTGACTGGAAGGCTTGAGGAGCCCAAAAGGAGCCCTTTTCCTGTGGACTGGGTCGGGAGGGGAATGGAAGACATTCCAAAGTGGGCACAGTTTTGTTTGCTAATGAACTCAGGGTGGGAATTCCAAGTGGGAGACACTGTGAGTGCAAAGGCTTCGAAGGCAGGAGAGCAGGGAGCATGGTTGGAGGTCAGCGAGGAGAAAAGTCTGACTTGAGAGCAGGGGTTTTCTCAATAGCCCCCCATCTGTTCCCTCCTCTGCTCCCCCCCCCCTATAGTCAGATTCCTACCAGGAAGACATTTACCCCATGACACCAGGCACAGAGCCAGCTCTGACCCCCGATGAATGGCTGGGAGGCATCAACCGAGGTAAGTACTGTTAGGGGTCGGCTTCACAAAAGAGGCTAAGAGTGTGTGAGTGTTGCCTTCTGTCTGGCTCACCCCATTTCCCTTGCACATGCTCCTGCTGGAACTTTGCCTTACTCTTGGCCAACTGTCAAGGATGGGGTAAATGAAAGACCATTGCTTGACAGTGCATCAATTGTCAATGAGAGCATGTCCCTTGCCTTTCTTAGATCCCGTGCTGATGTCTTTGAAAGAAGGCTATAAGAAGTCCTCGAAAATGGTGTTTAAGGCCCCCATCAAAGAAAAGAAGAGTGTTGTGGTCAATGGAATAGATTTATTAGAAAATGTCCCACCCAGGACAGAGAATGAGGTAAGGAATATAAGCTCTTACCTCCACAGGTCCTGGAAGAGCGAGACCTTTACATTTCAACTATGGGCTTCAGGCCTTTAAGTCAGCTCCATCCTGAGGCCTTTTTCTTTCTGTGACAAGCACCCTAAGTAGCCCGCTGTTGGATTCCATTCCTCTGACCCCAATAAATAGAGGCTGGGATATCATAGGGATATTGATGCCCCTCCCCTAACCCTCAAATGAGCTAACCCACACAGCTATGTGTGAATTCACAGTCTCCTCATGCATCCCCTCCCGAGTGTCGCTGTCACTTGGTGTTACTGGAGATATAAATTCCTGCCTCATAGAGGAAAGCCAGTCTCAAGCCTTCCTTCGTGGTCCTGTAGCACTGATGAGATCTCACAGTTTCCTGTTTTGTGGAAGATGCTGGATGTTTATGGAAATGCTCTTTGTACCATTTGCAGTGGGAGCATTCAGAGGCAACCATAGCTGGGCTCTGTCCATGCCCCCGAAGGCCCCTCTTTCCAACCATTCCCTCAGTCCCTGGCACTTCCACTCAGCCGGGACTCACAGAATGCCTACCGTGTGCCAGGCACTTGGCTTGATGCAGCTGAGGCAGAGATGGCTGTGTAGACCCACCTGCATTTGAATCCTGGCTTTCCCATTTCCTGGCTCTGCCTGAGCAAGTTTCCTGACCTAAGTCCATTTCCTCATGGCAAAATGGGGATATGAAATGCTGTGAGCATGAAGGAGGTAATCCAAGTGTCTGACACTCTTCCTGGCTCACATTAAGTGCTCCAAGAAGCTGACTGTATTAGCTGCCTATTGCCATGTAACAAACTACCCTAAAACCTAGAGACTTAAACCCACAAACATTCATTATCTCATAGTTTCTATGGGTGCCTGTGGCTCAAGGTCTCTCACGAGGGTGTGAAGTGTCAGCCAAGGCTGCAGTCACATCTGAAGGCTCATCTGCTTCCAAGTTCACTCACATGGTTGCTGGCAGGACTTGTTTCCTCCCAGGTTGTTGGACTGAGGGTCTCAGTTCCTCGTGGGCTGTCGGCCAGAGGTGCTCCCCTGCTCAGGCCCTTGCCATATGGATCTCTCCATAGGGCAACTCACAGTACAGCAACTGGCTTCCCTCAGAATGAGGAAGAGAGGGTGTCCAAGCTGGGATGCCACATTCTCTTTGTAACCTAACCTTGGAAATGACATCTCATTATTCCTGCCATATTGTATTCATTTGAAGCAAATCACTAGGTCCAGTCCACCCTTGAGGGCATGGGATAATGTGGGGGGCCATCTTTGACGCTTCTTGTCACACCAACTTATGATTACCACGCTTATTCACAAAAAATAAGACTGTCCCTGACCTCTGGGACCTCACAGTTTTGAAGTGGAAACTGACAGGTAAACTGGTAGTTATTATATAATATGTTTATGTGCCATTATAGAGGGATGTTGAGATTTCTAGGGCTGGATGAAATCATGTGATAAATGGGATTTGCTTCTAAATAATCCCTGGGGGGAGGAGCAGGTGGTGGTGCAGGGCAAGTAGGCAGGAGCTAATACCAAGAACAGGTAGACATCGAGCAGGAAATATGTCTTTTGTTGAAGCTGGTTGATGAGTACTTAGAGATTCATGGTGTTAATTTTTCTACTTTTGTACATATCTGACATTTTCTAATAAAAAAATTTTTTGTGTACCCTGAGAAAGCAGAGGTACCTGAGTTGCTTTGCTAGCCCGCGTGGGCCATACATATCAAGAGCCTAAGCTCAGTTCTAGTACCGGTGTGGAAAAGGCAGGGTTGACTAGTAGTTAAATAGAATACCATTTAGCTATCGACTTGTCTATATGAATCAGAACTGAGGAGCTGGAGGAAAATTGTAAAGGGTCTCTAAGCAGACAAAACAGATGCCACAATTGCCCTATACTAAAGCTTGTGCACAGTCCTCATTGGGAAGAAGTTCACTCAGAGCCTGCTAACTCTGGTTTTACCCACCATTTCAATCTTCACAGCATCTTGGAAGCAGCCAATAAGAAATGGAGCTGTAAACAGCAGACACATTGATCCAAGTGTGAAGAGATCGCTGATAGGACCAGGTTGACCCAAGGGAGGAGACTCAGGGTTGCACAACTCTGTAACTTTACTAAAAATCAGCGGATTGGACGTTTAAAATAAGTGAAATTTATAAAATATCAATTACACCCCAATAAGGCCTTTCTAAACAAAAGTTGAAAAAGTATGCGAAGAAATTTGAGAATTTGGAAGGCACAGGGATATGTAGGAACAAATAACATATCTTCTCTCAGACAAAACCAGGACTGCTTTCTTGGTTAAAAAAAAAAAAATCAGTTAAAAGAGGATATCATAAAAATGGCATAGGCATTCTTTAAACTATTTATTTTCATTTAAAACAAATACAAATACATTTATTCATCATACGTTGAGGCAGGACCAAGACCATTCCTTCGGGGACATCCTTGGATGGGCGCTGTGTTGGTCTCAGATAAATCTCACTTAACTCCAATTTCATTTCTTTTACATAGAACAGGAACTTAAAGTCAATCTGAAAACAAAGCCCTAGTTTTCTTCAAAGTTTTCCCCAGTTTTTTAAAAAAGAAACTCCATTGAGGTTTAGTTCACCCATGGTAAAATTTACCCTTTGTAGTGTGCGGTTCCCTAAGTTTTGACAAACGTGTAGAAGCTTGGATGGTGGTATAACCACTATCACACAGTCCTGATTTAGTCAATTCCCCAGTGTTTTGTGGTGATATCACCCACACCTCATTCAGCAGCACCATTTTTAGCATCACCTTTACCAAGGTTTTTATAAAGCATTTAACTTAGTTTTTATAGAAACAGCAACTGCCTTTTTGTACTCATATTTCATCAGTTTATATCATATTTAATCAAATTATGCAATTACCAGGCAAATGTGACTCCCACCAGGAAGTTTGAGGATGGCTCCAACGGCTTGTTGATAACATTCACCTCAAGTGCGTGGGGTCCTCCAGGAGCCATGCGTCCCGGGCCTCCGTGTTCCGTGGGCACCTGTGGGTCCGTTTTACAGAAGAAGCGGGGAGATGGGTTAATACAGGGGGTCCCATAGGAGAGGCTCTGTCTTTGCCTGTGCCCACGCCAGCAATAGATCACTGCCCAGTGCAAACTTTGGTGTTCCTGTGATAGCTCCATGTCAACAGGAAAATGGCTGAATTCCATTCTGTACCCTGAGCCTCCTTGAACAAACATTTTAGAAAGGTTTCCATCCAGAATGATAACTAAAATTATTAGGGTTGGACCCCTAAAAGGGTGAGGCTGGGATATTTGGGAAAACGGCCTGTGTGGACTCACCCCTTCCTCAGCAATCCTGACTCAGGCCCAGGGCAGGTCTGTCTTTTTTTCTACTTCACAGGGGAAAGTAGGAGTCGTGAGCTGAGTCTGGAGGAGGGAGAGCTGTAGCGACATCAGTCACTGGGGACACTACAGGGTGGGGTAGTGGAAGGTCTGCAGAGAAGGGCAGAGGCTACTATGCGGATCCGAGGAGGGGACAGGGTCGGGGGGCAGGGGTATCTACTCTGGAAATCACATTCTCACCTCTTTTCTCCTGGCCCCTCCGTGGCCCCCTCTCTCTGTCCACCCAGCTCCTCCGAATGTTCTTCCGGCAGCAGGATGAGATTCGGCGGTTGAAAGAGGAGCTGGCCCAGAAGGACATCCGCATCCGACAGCTACAGCTGGAACTGAAGAACTTGCGCAACAGCCCCAAAAACTGTTAGCTCTCGGTGGGGCTGCTTTCTAAGCCAATCTCTCCGTTGTTTCTACTCGTCTCTTACCTTCCCCTTGTCCTGTGATCCCAGAGACAAAGCCAGGATGGGAACTGGGGGAGAGCCTGAGGAGGAGAGCCCCACCTGCCATCTCAAGAACTGGAAGCTGATCTTTGACCTCTTGACCTCGTGCTAATAAAAGGCCCCAGCTTCTCCTGGAGACCCACCGCTGGCAGCCCCTTCTCCTGCCTGCCACCCCAAGAGCCTCGGCTTCCCCTCGGCTGGGCAAAGACCGCGGATTCCCTGAGGGGCGGCCTCCATGGACCAAGGAGCAGAGGAGGAAACCAGGACCCCCCTAGACTTAGAACTGGAACTTTTCCCTTGCAAAGGAGGCTGCTGCCAGGACATCTCAGCACCCACTGCTGGGGCTCACAGCATCCCTGATGGACCACACTGTAAGGGCTGGATGGCAGGCATCACCTGTTTTCCCTCCCCTCTCTCTCCCTCCCTCTGCGGCCCTGGAAGCCAGATTCACCTGACAAGGGCTGCAAGCAGCCCTGCTCCTTTCTGTCTCTTGCCCCCTCTCTCTTATCTTCAGGGAATTAAGAGGATTGCTCGTCAAGGCCATAAAGACCCCTTGCCTTCCCATGAGTCTCTTCAAAGCTCTTGCAATACCCTTTCCCTGTTTAATTTGTGAGGCAGGCAGGGTAGGGAATAGTGTCCTCATTTTACAAATGCCAGAACGGAGGGTTGCACTGGCGAAGTGACTTACTAAGACACCCAACAGGTCAACAGTGGACCCAGGACCTAGGGTGCCTAGACCCCAGGCCAAGGCCCTTCCCACTGCAGCAAGATGCCAATCCCTTGGTGGCTTCACCAGTGCCCCGATATGTGTGGAGGATGAGAACTGGAAGCCACTCCTACCGTCTGCCCAACACCAGTAGTGCCAATGTGTCACACTGCCCAGCTGAGGCCCCTCACACTCAGTGCCCCTCCACCCTGCGGGCCCCCCCTGCTCTGTTCCCTCCCCCCCCAGGGGACTCCCTCTGAGATGAGGCCTCTTCCTCCTGGAAGCTGAGGCTGAGGAGGGGGAGTCGGGCCCTGGGGAAGGCAGAGCAGGGGTTTGCTTGCTTCAAGGGGTGGATGATGCTCCGTGTGTGTCTCTCGCCACTACTATCTCAGCCACTTTCAGCCTTATGCTTGTAGAATGACCACAGCCCCTCACATCGGTATAGCACTTTAAAGTTTACACAGTTCTTTGACACCTAGGATCTCATTGGAGTCTCCCATCTGCTCCAGGAGGTAGGGAGCACTCTTTCCATTCTGTAGATGAAGAAACTAAGAAGTGGCCTGAGGTCACAGGACTCTTTTGAGATACCACGTTTCATTTGGTCTTCTACACATTTTCTTTTTCTCTCTTTTTTTCCTCCATTTTCCACTGCCCACAGTGTCCATAAACACTGTTCTTCACAGAATAACCACAGTTTGGGGGTGAGATCTGGCCTGGGAATCAAATGGGGGCCTTCCCTATTCTCTCATTCGCTAGGATCAGCTAGACACATTGTACTCCCACCTGCTTTACCCATGGCCGCCCTGGAGAACATCCACAGAGGCCAGGGTTCTGTAAGCCCCTCCTGGTGACCTGGACAGGGAAAGCCCTCTGACCCCTGAGGCTTCCCTCCAAGAACCAGCTGCCCTCTCGGCCAGCTACAGCAGGGTCTCCTCACCCCCACCGCCTGCGGCTAGACAGTGTTAGCTCTCATCTCCTCCTCCCCGCACTTCTTGAGCTTTTTTTTTTCTTCCCCATTGACCTTTGTGGTCTTCTGTGATTATTTATGCTGCCTCCCAAGGATAGAATTGAAATAAAATGTTTTCAAATTATCAAACCTGCTCTTGGTTACCCCAGTATCTTGATGGCCAACTCCGCAGCCGCAGCTCCTTTGTCTCTCTGGAACGACAAACCACATATGTATCTACAGATATACTTCCACACTTTCATTCACCTCAGCAAAGCTTCTGAACCACAGCACCATTGACGTTTTGGGCCAGATAACTTTTTGCTGTGGGGCTGTCGTGTGCACTGTATGATGTTCAGCAGCATCCCTGGCTTCTATTGATCACAGGCCATAGGAACCCCTACTCAGTGGTAATAAATAAAAAATGTCTCCAGGTGTCACCCAAGGTCCTGTAGGGTGTCAAAATAGCCTCAGTTGAGAACTACTGTTCTGCAGTTATACAGCAGGCATCTGCTCTGTACCTGGCCCTGTGTTGAGGTCTGGGGGACACCAACATTTTACACTGGAATGATATTTCACAGTTCACAAAGCACTATTCCATGTACTTGACTCTTGATCTTCATTCACAGCAGCTCTAGGTATATTCTAATGTTATTTCCATTTTCAAGAAAGTGGTCAGGTCCAGTGTGGTGACATGTTCAAGGTCACTCAGCTGGTGTAGTGGGGAAGCCTCACAGGGATGTGGATCTTATGAGCCAAAGCCAGAGAAGGCATGTGCTCCCAATCTCCAGCCAGCCTTTGTGCTGGGCCAAGTTTGTCCTGGGGGGAGGTCTGGGCCCCATCATAGACGCTGGATGTTGGACAGGGGCAGCCGGCCCCTGGGACGCCCTCATCTCTCACCAGATCAGGGTTGTCATGCACCAGAGTTGTCCGGTTGCAAAGTGGGCAGCCACCTAGCAGTATGGGCACTACAGAAAACTCAAAAGAGCCAGAGGAAAGCAAGGAAAGTCTTAGAAAAGAGAGCTGGAGAGGGAATGAACAAAGGGCTGCAGAGGAACAGCAGGCAAGACACCAGCAACTGGGGGTGGGGAGGTGGGGCTGCTGCCAGCCCAGCTCTGCCTCCAACTGGGTGTGTGACATTGAGTTTCACTCCTCCTCTCTGAGCCTCACTTTCTCCATCTCTAAAATGAGGGGATTAGACAATTTTAGAGTCTCTTCCTGGTCTAACACTTAAGTTTCTATTATACCAGCAGTTGGGAGATTGGGACAAATCCCCAAGACCACCCATAGTCTAGCACAAGGGGCACAAAGGAGAAGTATGTCAGGGGAACAGAAGCAGCAGGACAGCTTCTTCCAGGGTTTGGTGCAGAAAAGCACTTCTGCTAAACATGAATTTGAACCAAAACACCCCTGGAGTTTCTGCTATAGATCAATTCACAAAGTCCTGAGCTTGAAAGAATTGCTGTAGTCTTTGAGAGTCTGGCCCTCATAAGCTCCTTCTCTTGGGATGCTGAGGAAGATGGAGCTAGTTCCTTGATTAGTGCTTCCCACCCCTCTGCCCTTGATCCCACCTGGGCTCGGGGAGAATGGGCAGGTGATCTGTCTCATGTGTGTCTCTGTCCCACTAAGTCCCCGGTTCTGAGCTTAACTGGACAGTTCTTTCATCATGACTCATTATGGCAAATTGTCCACTGTCAGGTTTAAACACGATTTCCCCTCGAGTAGCCCTTTTTCCCAACTGCATTTGTTAAGTAGGGACATTTCCTCATTGTCTGTGTGTGTGTCCTTTAGTTCTTCATATACTAAACTATATTATGCCTGGTCTGTTACGCTGATCCACCACCAGTTACGGAATGGCCAACCACATTGCTTTGATTATTGTAACAGCAGAGGACAGCAAGTCCCCTCTGCCCCTTTGAACTTGTTCTTACTGCCATGTTCTCCACCAGGTGCTTGCTCCCCTCTTTTTTCCAGTGAAGACATAGACTAAACTCCAGACCCTTCTCTTCTACAAAGAGCTCCTCCTGGGCATGCCTGGAACTCCTTGTCCTGACCCTGCTAATACCAACTTGGATTTTCAATTCAGTCTAACATACCTGAGTAGCTGGATCTACTCAGTATTGGGTGCTGGGAACCCAGTGACAGGAAAGAATCAGTCCTGCCCTTGAGGGCCTCTGGCCACTGGTCCATCCATGGGCATCACATCATCTAGTGAGACAAAGAGCCCGTGGAGGCTGGAGTGAGCTTCACCCTCTGCTTGGTTCAGCGTGCAGTAGGCAGTGGTTACAGGTTCTCCTCCAGCCAGCCTCCTGAGATTGCGAGATGGACTTGGGCATTTTTAGTCTCTCTGCTGGTACTGGGCAAACATCCCAGACTGCCAGTGGACCATACAGAACGTGGCTGCTTCTTTAAATGTGGGAAATGACTTCATACTGAAAACACCCCTCTACACACAAGGCCTCCACCCCTCAGCCTTGCTGCATGCAGCGAAGGCAGACACCTCGACCGCAGGAAGCATGACCACATCCCTCCTTTACCTCCCCTGGGTTGGCCAGCCTGGGGGCTGCAGACCTGGGTGCAGGGAGGAAAGAGGGCCCTGTCTGGGATGTTGGCAGAAGCTCCTTATAGTCTGTGCATGTGTGTTTCTATTCGGGAACAACCTGCAGCCTGACTTCCCTTGGAATTTTAATTCGGTAGCAAACACAAATGGGTCAGCCTTCCTTAGAGAGAAAAAGTGAACATCTGCAGGGGTGGGTCTGAGGAGTTCTAGGAAGCCCCTGTCCCGCAGTCTCTCCTTATACCTTTCTGACTGACCCACTGCCTGGAACACCCCCCCCCCACCCCCTTAGCCCTGAGTCCCTGTGGGTTAAGCACCCCCTGGGCCAAGCTCTCTTCATGCGCAGAAGCCTGGGACTGGGGCGCTAATGTGGACAGGGGTAACCGATGGGGTGAAGGAAACAGGGACACTGAAAAGGAGAGGACCCAGGTGACAGGAGAGGAGTGAGGTGAGAACAGAGACCCCGGATTTCAAGGTCACAGTGACTAAGGTAAGATTCAAAGACCAGGAAGAGTTTGTTAGGAGCTTGGATCCAGCCAGCAGGTGGCAGATTACAGCCTTCCTATCAAGCCCATTTTTTCCCTAAACTGAGTCTCTTCTGCCACCTGCCACCCCACCCCAGAATTAATACCCCAACCAGAAGTACCAGGGACTCCTGGCAAAGCAGGCACACAGAAGAGTCAGGATCTGAACCGCCACAAGTATTGGAGAAGGGAGGCTCCAAGGAGGGCAGTCCATCCTCCGGCTTCCCCAGGCCCTTGGTCTCCAGGGAACAGCCAGAGGAGGGCGCCCACCTCACCGTCTTCCGCGGAGGCCGCCTGCCCAGAGCAGTTGCAAAGAGGCTGGATCTAGGTTCACATCCCAGCCCAGCCCAGCCCAATGCCTGACCTGCTCTGTGACCTTGAACAGCTTCCCCGCCAAGGGACAATGATAGGGAGGAGCCCGAGAGTTGGCAATTCGATTAGGCTTGGGGCCGAGGAGGTGGCCAAAGGAAAAGCTGGGAACTTGAAAGGGAGGAGGAGCAGGGGCTCCAGCCAGCGCCGGCTGCTGGGCAGCCCCCGTCCCCTCAGTGTCCAGGAAGTTCCTGATGAGACAAACAGGAGCGGCGTCCCAGGCACGGACACAGCCCCAGGACAGAGGAAGAGGGGTCGCGGCCAGGCTTCGAAACCCTGAATCCTAGACGGGGAGCCAAGAAAGGACTTAAAGCAGGAATGGACACCTCCCTCTGGCAGCTGCGAGGGGAAAGGGCTTGAGGGCAGCACTGAAGCAAGGAGCCGGGTCGGAGAGGGTGAGGCATGGGTCCAAGGGGAGACAGGGTGGAGGGAGGGGCTGGGGCGGTGGTCAGGGAAGACTTCAGAGTGGACATCTGTGGTCAGGGGCGCAGGGGCACAAGGGGGCCGGGGGAGGGAAAGGGAGAGCTCCCAGCCATGGAACCAGAGCTCGGAGGGAGATGAGCTACCCTCTGCCAACAGATGGGGACCTCCGCAGAGGGGGGCATGGTCTTTTGTACCTCTCTCAAGCCAGCACCACCCCCAACAGGGGGCCTCCGACAATGCTGGCTGCACCCTGCTTAGCAAATGTCCTTTGCACAGGCTGACAGAGGAAAGGCATTCTTAGAAAATGTGTTGGGTTCCTTTATCACTGAAAGTGCACCTTGGGGCTGCTTGACACTGTCATGTGAAAGTCCCTCTCCCACCCTAACTTGTCCCCCACCAGATTCTCACCCATTTGTTTGTCCTCTGGCTAAATTGTCTGCAATGATAATGAAAACTGGTTAATTTTTTTTTCCCTTCTTTGCCTGCTGGGAGATTTGAGACAGTTTTCATTCAAAAACTATTTTATCAAGTGCCTTTTCTACACCAAGTATTATCTTAGGTGGTAGGACTAAGGAAACAAAAAAGATGTGGTTCTTGCTCTCAGGTTCCTCTCTAATTACAATTACAATTCTATGCAGTGCAGAGAGAAATGCCTGGAAGCCTTGAAATGATTAACAGTGATTATCTTAAGGGGACCGAATAGCAGATTCATTCTATTCTTTTTAAATAGCTGCCTTTTTCTATAATAAACAATCTTTTTCAATAAGAGAGGAAGGTACTTTTTAGCTTTAAAGATATTCCAAAGACATATACAAGCTTAGGATTTACCGCCAACTGTTTCTCCTGAGATGGAACTTCAGGCTCCTTGCGCTGAGCTCACCAGGTACTGGGTGCTGCGGCTTTTCCTACCCGTCACCACTGCCCCTCTGGCCTGGAAGAGACTGCCCGCGTGGGTATCGCAGGGGATGAGCAGGCTCCGGCCAGGTGTTCCTTCTGTTGGATACTGACAGGTGGAGCCCTGACAGGAGGCTCCCAGCTCCCCGCCACTGAGATGCATGGCTCCCTAGGTCCCTGCCCAAGCAAAGGTGGGCAACAGGTTCCGCTTTCCCTTGATCCACTTGAGGCTGATTTGGCCGTCCCTGGTCCCGCGAGGTCTGTCTGGTGCCACCCGCTGACCTCCTCCCATGCCAGCC